TCAAAACAGTTTTGCAGATTATTTTTTTGCTAGAAATACAATTTAAAAACAGACTAAAGTTAGACGAAGCACTTAATTAACACCCTGTATTTATCAAAAGCGCTCCATTTTGGCACGCACATAATTTTTAAATTATTCTTTGACAATTAGATTTGTAATCCAGTTGTAATACCTATAAATCCCTTACGAGACATTTCTCAACCTATAAACATTTTCACTTATTTCGCCGTATTAGTCCGGTCAAAATAGACATTTCAAATAACGAAAATTCCGACAGAGCTAAATTTTGGTGGAGACCTTGGGTACACCATTAGAAATAAAGTGTCAAAAGTCCCCATCAATCCCATGTGTGCTAAAAAAGTTATTCGGGGTCAAAGGTCAAAATTTGAGGTTTTTTGGATTTTTTCGAAAATGGTAAGTTTTATCAAAAAAGTATCTCTGACAAAAATTATTGATCTTAAAATTATCTACAAAAATGGTCGTTATACTTTTTTTCTAAGAATCACCATTCCTGAGATATCGCGATTCTAATAGTTGAAAGAGTCACGTTCTACATGATATGCACACATTTCCGCACTACCTGTGAGGTAGTGTATTTTGGCGCGTTTTTTTTTAACGTGGTTTCCCCGGTAGGCCTGCTCCACGAACAGTTATTAACTGCATGATGATTATTGATATTGGTTATTGACTTTAACTGTAGTTCTGATTTCTTTTGATATTTTAATGTGATGCATACTCTATAAAGTCGACTTCAACATTCATGTCTTCTTCAATTTCTTCTTCTTCTTCCTCTTCTTCTTGTTGGATGTTCATAAATTGTTCAAATGAAGATGAATCAGCTGTCTCTTCATCGAAATCACATAAATCTTCGTCTGTTGTATTCAATTGGACATTTGAGCAAGACTGGCTTTGGCAATTAGTACACGCTGGAGAACACAGTAACCCTACTCTTCTACAGCCACATTTAGCACTACAACCTTTTTTGCAATTGCAAAAAATAGTGNATCTCTTCAGTTTTACTTGGAAGTGTGTATGTCTAATTTGAGTGAGATGACATTTAGTGACACATTAAATGAGTTCAGTTTTAATTATCATTAGCAAAGGTTCTTAATTCATACCTTTGGTTAGTGGTTGTTTTGTAGTCATATTTGGGTGGTAAGAGCAACGATCGTGGGTTTCTCTGCCGTGATCTTTCCCCGCAGGAGCTCTAGGTGAGCCTAGTACTCTTCTTTTATGTTAAATGGTTGTTAATGTTTTTGTTGTTCTTTCTATTGTCACATGTTTAATTTGAATTGTATGTAAATAAAGGTTAGGTGTATTTATTCTCCTTTTGTTTTATGTAATTAAACCATACATCCCCTCTAAAAAGGTTAGTAGCCAGCGCCTTCCGGCCAATAAAAAATAAATACACTCAACGTAGGTAGTCCTTATGACGATCACATATTTTTGGCCACAACTACGTTTACTTATTTTTGTCGAACCTAGGGTTGTTATACTACATTGTTTACGTACTTGTTAAAAAAAGTGCAAAAAAATATGTTGAACTAATATTTTTTCTGTAGCTTTAAAGACACGGTCCTGCTCCGAAATTTATTATTTCAGAGAACGACTTTCTAATATTGTTTCGCATCAGTTGCAAGTTTATTTCTGCCATTTCTATTCTTGTAATGTCCATTATTTTGGGTAGAGAAGAGAAGCTTCCACACATAAAATAAAATAACTTTTAGTACCTATATATTTCATTCAATTTTATAAGACTGAAAAATATATAAAATACTGAGGCTCATATTTATTATTACTATGTTCAGAAAAATTAAAACACTCCATATTTTAATAGTTTGTAGGAATTGATGTTGAGTCGTCAGCTATGTATAATTATCAAACAAACTCTTATATAATCAAGCCCCAAATATGTGCATTTTACAAAATATATGAAAAATATAACATGCATTTAGTTCAATCTGTAAATGTCTAGGCTGAGTTTGACTTTATTAATATGCATCTTTCGTGAAGAGAAATAAAATGTTTTACTTGTATCGAATGTTTACATTACAAGTATGATAACGGTACAACTGTTTATAAATCGCTCCTGCAATCTGTAAAAACAGAGTTGCTAACATGGGAAATGAGGTGCAAATTAATTCTAGACAAGTTTTTCGAACTTTCATCGCAATTTGTGAAGGAGGAGAATAATTTCTGTCTCAAATTTATCTGATCCCGCAGAAATTGTTTTAGAATTATTATTTATGGTACCAAATTGAAACAGAAGATAAAATATTTTTTTTAAGTAAAAGGTCTGTTATGGACATGATTCCGAAAATGCTTGATAAAAATTTGCAAAGTGATAGAGTTACACTACCAAAAACAAAAACTCATCAGGTATTTAATAAAATAAGTTTTTGAAAGCTAAGTTTTCAATTCACTTTCTTGAAATATATCAGTGTTTACCTTATTAAACTTTTGTAAAGTTGTAGAATCGAAATAATGCTATGGTTAAAATTATGTCGACATACATGAAAAAGAAATTCAGCATTAACTGATGAGTAGAAAAATCATTCATTTCCATTACAATATGGAAAATCATTAAGGCAAAACTTTAATACCTTGTATGTTCCAAGCCAATACATATAATTTCAAAAATAAAACACGAAAGCTTTAAGAGAAATCGACTTTTCCGATAATGTAAAATTGTCCAATTCTTTAATAGGTACTTGAAATTTTCCAGGTAATAAAAATTTTGCAAAGGAGGCTAAAGTAAAAGAGAATAAAAAATTGAAGTCAACCGCCTTTGAATTTTTTCAAATAACATCCATTTTGGGACTTATTGCTCTACATATTTCTTCTATGCATTTTTCACGTTGAGGCATCATCTACTAGAAAATCAGCTTTCTCGCTTTCTTTTGAAAATTTCTGCTACTACAACTGATAATTTGGCAGTAAACTACACCTACACCTTTAAAGTTTTACTAACAGCCAGATCATAAAATATCGCTCCCATTATAGTTTACCCATATTATTTTAAAATTTCTCTAAAACTTGCTCTTCCAACTGATGTATTATTATGTAAATATACGACTAAAGCAGTACAGATGCAGAGAAAGTAAGAAAGTATAATAATACGACATATTTTTAATTCCTCGACAGATAGCTGTCTGGATTATCTGCGAAATGTTCAGTTCGTGCTCATTTTCAATTATTGGTTTAATTAGCCACACCTGATATTAATTAATCTCAAGTATTTCGACATTTTTCTTAATTCTTGTTTCTAAATATTCATAATGTATAGGATAATCCAGTTAATGTGCTTACGTTAACTTAATTGTTATTAGAGACAGTAATTTTGTAACTGATCAAATAGCAACTAACGAAAAAACGGTTAAAATATTTTTATGGGCAAATCTCTTTTGTAAAATAAAAATTATACACCACTAAAAACTGTTTTTTTCTGGTTTATGATTTCGTAAACAGGTAAAAAATACTAATTATTTTATGGTGAAAAGGTAATCATGATGATTCAGTCAAAAGAAAACGGTTAATGTAACAGCGAATGAACTTGGTAGCCTGGCAACCACGTCTATTTTTAATGAATCTGTTGCTATTAGGTAGGCCCATCAATTATGTTACTATAACCTTGAAAAGAAAGCATTATAATCAAATAAGACTCCTGCATAGGGCATTTTATATAAAAATTTATTGTCGTAAATGTTGCTTTAAATAACTTTTGATGTGATGTATTCAAAAATGTTTTCAATTCTGCCTCTTCAATAATACCGAATTTAGGAATGGTAAGCAGTGAATTCGGATTTATCTGTGTAGACACTAAATAGAGTTTAACTAATAATATACACTGTACGAATAAAATGTATATCTCTTAGGTATCTATTACAGATTTATTACACATATTTATCTACACACTATTGCCGTATCCATTTAGAATTGTTTCTTTAATTTAAAATAATGACTGAATAATTAAAGTTATATAAGTAGTACCTAGCCTAATTATAATATGTTGGGTAACTCTTTTATATACCACTAAATAAGGTAAGAACGATATAACGAATTCTAATTAAGTACTTAGTTTAGTTAATAGATTGAAATAATTTATTTCAAAGCGTGTAGTTACATGTTCAAGAAGGCTGATTTAAATATATGCAAATATGAATAATTAACATGTTTCTAATTTTACATACACAGTGCCTTTGCAGGTATACCGAAAATAAATTAAAACAATAACATTTAAAGTGCTCTTTATTGACATCAATTAAAAAACTTTGTATTAATCGGTAATGTGGAATTAGAAATTTTGTTTCTTAAAAGTTTCAAACTACAAATTTAATAGTAACACTTCATGGCACACAACGAACATGGAACATTAATTTAGAGCATTCATTGGTTAGTTCATAGTTTTGTTATACAATTACTTAACAAAAAACTAAAAAGTTCATTAATTACAGGAGAATGTAATAATTAAAATAGGAAATAGAGCTTGAAATAACATGAAAATGAAAATTTGACATGTACGTAAATATCTGTTCAAATAAATGACCTTATAATATACAATAAATGCAAGAAAACAAGACGGAAAGATTTTTGAAACTTGGGGAATGTCAGATTAAATTATGGTGACGACTAATATAAGGAAGAGAACTGATACCTTGTGGTCTATTGCAGCTCATATCTAAAACTATATTTCACGTAATAAAGTTTATAAAATTAGTTGAGTAATGTTTTGTTCAGGTAATTCGGCAAGAATTGAACTGCCGAGGAAAGAGAACCTGCTGAAGTACGTACTATGTGGTCTGTCATCTCTTCGCCATCTAAACACGGTCAACAGTGGTCAAGCTCTTACACCAAGCCTAGTTTGACTGATATTTGAATCGGCAGTGTTCAGTATATACTTATGTTAAATAGAAATTGTAGGTGTAACATCAGCAGGTTTTTTGCTTCCTTTTTCACTGGGTTTGTTATAAATATATTGGCAATTCTTGCCCGTATTCCAGGGGGAAGGGCTATTATGCCAGCAGCTGAAGTGTAAAGCAGCACCCTCTCTGGTTAGAGAGCCTGTCACCTTGTTCACCGTGGGTCTAAGTGGTCAAATGTTTACACTAGAGTAATTCTCTTCTTATTACTGAACAGGGCTGGAGCTTTGACAGTTCCTTGAGTTACAACAAGAATTACAAGAGCTGCTTGGCTGCCCGTAAAATTCTTATCAGCTTGCGTTTATGTCGCAGCTTCGATGTACATAGCTCAATGTTACAGATTTCTTCCCGAAAAATAGTTGAATAAATACCAATGTCTGTCTCACTTGTCTGTCCTCAGAAGCTCAGCTCTATTCCAATTACACTTATCTATCCGAAGAATAATGGGCAACAAACGCTATTGCGACATTGTAGTGCTCTGACCTCACAAGCGAGCGTTTCAAATGAGTTTGACATCTGTAATGTAAAATTACTTGTCGCCATTTTAACAGAAATTTGGAATAATACATTCGTTTATGAAAAACGTTATAGTTGCTTCAAAAGTGGCAAACTGCTAGAAGAAGGTAGAAGAAATTACAGAAACTAAACTCGCTCGAACTGTTTTACTTGCTTCCTGTGAAACCATGATCTAATGTTTGGCCGCTACCATAGCTTTTAAATCGCGTATTAAAGCTACATGTAAATTATTTGATAGGTAGGAACGCGCCTATAGAAGCTCTTTTGCTTCACGTCCTTAAAGCACGCTTACCTACTTAAGGGTAACGCAGAATTTGAATTGTGCGCCATTTTCAATGAAGCGAGTGAAGATTGTGAAAATTAACTAGAAGTATGGAAAGTGTGTAGCTGAGACTGTGCGCAAATTAAGTGGAATTTTCAATAAAAGGAACGCCATGAATGAAATAACTGTGAAAAGATTAGTTGCCAAATTTTAACAAACAGGTTCGGTTGCAGACAATAAAAAAACAGGCCGGCGTAGTTCAGCCAAAAGTATCGCTAGGTGAGTGAAGTATGGCGGAAATTCCCGTAATCTCAGTGCGCCATCGGTCACTGCCATTAACCATTTCAAAAAGCATAATGCAGTGGATTTTAACAAAAGTTCTACATCTACATCCATTCAAAATTCAGCTAACCCAGGAACTGAACAAGTGAACGGTGATTTTGCTAAGCAAATCATCTTCAGCGACGAGGAACATTTCCATCTTAATGGATATATGAACAAACAAAACTGTCGAATTTGGGCCAGAAACAATCCTCGGATCATTCACGAACGACCACTGTACACCCAAAGAGTGACAGTATTGTGTGAATTTTACGCTGGTGGTGTGGTTCTTTTCTAAAAATGAGGCTGGAGACTGTCAATGGAGAACGATATCGAGAGATGCTATTTTACGCCAAGCGGAGTTTTCCTGTGAAAATTTTTAAATTCCAAAGTTTATTCTACGCAAATGAATATTATCCTTGAATTAAAGGCAAACATTCGGAGAGATAGCAACATCAACTAAATTCAGCCGCAAGTATGCAAAAGTGTGATACAGAATTCTCTTAAAAGAAGTCGGATATGCCAAATGAGTCGCGAGGAACATCTGTCCGATATCCTCTTCTATATTTAATGGCAATGTCCTTTTAAATACATGTAAAAACTTTGCTAACCTTTTAATTATAAATATAAAATCTGTTTTCCTCATATCATCTCAATTCTCTCATTTTTTTGGGACACCGTATATATTATTTTATATTAGACGAGGTATTAATCACATTTAAGAAGAGTTACATACTACCAAGATCGGAAAATTATTGCTTATTCTCTCCTTTTAATAGCTACTTTATTTTTATTGACTTAACATATAAGTATGAAATAGAAAATATTAAGGAGTATTCTTTTGAATGTAATTTTATAAATGGTATTTGTTATATAATATGTAAATTATTTATAAGAAATCATATGAGTTATAGAAAAATCATCTTACATCTGTTACTCATATATGCACCATATTGTGAAGATTTACGAAACGATTTTAAATTACGTCAATTAATCAAACATGGTTATGTAACATTTCTTGCTAGAGCTATTTTTGACAATATTAAGATCTTTGTTTACTAATGGTTAATTTTTGCAAAATCAATAATAAATTTGCTCGATACTAAGTAAATGATAAATTTAGTTTTCTTGTGAATTAAGAAAAAATTCAGCTAGACTAACATTGCTTTAAATGAACAACAAATTCAGGTAGACTAACATTGTATTAAATGAGTTCTAAATTTAACAGTTTTTGACCCTATAATTGTTCAGAAAATTGCTCAAGAGGTTGTATTGTAACTCATACCGTTTTACATGTTACTAAAAATTGCTCTTTCAACTTTTAAATCAAAAATCATTATAATAAGAAATTACAAACCACGATGGACTTGCAAATTATGCCACACTAATGCAATTCAAGTAATAAATAAATAAAAGTACATGTACCTAACAAATTTTTTATACAGTGTGTCCCCGGATGGGGTACCGCACTATTGTAAACTTTTTTATTGTTGATTTTTCGAGAAAAAGTTATTCTTGATAAAAAGTTTTGCTTATCTTGAAAAGCCGTGGGCAGTAATCAAATATGTAATAAAACATATAGGACGCCCAAAAAAAAATGTAAAGCTTTCCCTAAGCAAAGTGCCTTTAATTTTTGTCTTCGTTAAAAACTGTATTTAACAAAGTTGTTCTAGAATTCAAGAAATGCTTAAATACGGGGTTTAGTCAAAAAAGTAGCATCGTTATCATTGCATTCTTTTATATTTTTTTAATATTACTTACATCACCTGTGGTATCGAATTTTATAATAAGCTTGCGAACTGCTATAAAAATTTGTATTGCATATCGATATGAAACATTATCGATTCCAGAACATTTCACAAGATAAATTCGTTGCTCCTTAGCATTAATAAAAATTATTAGGTGGGCAGTTAATAAAAATAAATATGTTGACTTTGACATTGATAAGGAAATATCCATGGTAATTATATGATATGTAAGATAGTTAAAAATTGCGGCGTCTTTTTATTTGCAAAATGTGATTATTCTTCTTTTTTACTAAACCATGTAAACCATTTATTGAGTTCACAACATCTTTGTTAAATTCAGTTTTTAACGAAAACAAAAGTTTGCTTAGGGAAAATTTCATATTTTGAATTTTTTTGGGCGCACCCTGTATATTTTATTACATATTTGATGCCTATGGCTTCTCAAGATAAGCAAAACTTTTTATAAGACTACATTTTTCTCGAAAAATCAACAATAAAAAAGTTTACAAGAGTGCGGTAGCCTATTTGGGGACACACTGTATATTTAAAATAAGAAAAGTTTCAAAATTTTAGAATGCAACTTAATGTGAAGTGAAGTGTATTAATATAGTGTGAAGTATTATCTTTATTTACATGTCCCAAATTATGGAACAAGACTAACTACTGCTTTACATGTCAATTACCATCAAACTAAGTTTGGTTTTTATAATCCCACAAATAACATCGTTAGCTGTGTGAATAGTCTTCCTTATGCTTATGACTTAGATATTTTTACAGGTTCTTGGGTTTAGATACTGCACTTAATTTGTAATAGACTGTAAATAGTACTACTGTAATAGGCTAATTTTATTGTCGTTATGTATGTGTATTTGTAATGTCCCGGTACTTGATACAAAAAAGTCGGGTACAAATAAATGAGGTCAAAATAATATCAGTTCTTCATATAATTTTTTTTTCATACGGGCCTTCGTTAACAAGTTACGGGCCCTCACAGGTGAAAATTAAAAAGTTATTTTAAACTATTAACTTCAGCATGATACAAATTTGGTGATCGATAACACATGCATACAGCTTCTTTTTGATGCTGTAAGTGAAACTTGATTATGCCCAGAATGCCAGGGACGGGCTATGCCCAATGGTTAACAACCCATAATTTTTGCATAGATGACGATAGCAACCTACCTGCATCAAATATAAGTTATCTGAAGAATTTGTCAACGATAATACCCTCTTGGTTCAACTCGGCAAAATTAACAGTTTAGGAAGTATTTGTGATTTTACGTCACAGTGCATATCGATCGGCGCCTCCGCCATTTTTTGTTTTTAATTTTTAATTGGACATAATTACTATGTTGGAATCATACATATTTTTAAAATAAGAACCTAGAATATCTTACTGTCTGCTAACGTAATTTTTACTATCAAAATTTGATAAACACACTTTACACATAACATAAAATAGAAAAAAAACGAGAATAAAATAAAGTTAAAAAATAATTTAAAAGAAAGAAAACTATCAAAATATATATTCAATATGGGTACCTTTCACCTCCACATACTTCCTAAGTCTACGAACGTTATTTGTTTGTAGACGAAAAAGCATTCCTGGGGTATGTCCAATATTATCACAATGGAAATTAATTCATTCCTTGTTTGTACTAGCGTTCAGTACACTAAACTTTTCAGGTATCCCCATAGGAAGAAGTCCATGGGGTTAAAGTCTGGAGAACGTGGCCATGAAATTGGGTGTCCTCTCCCCATTTATTTCGTACATCAATATTGAAATGGGGACGAGCCCCATCGTGCATGAATAAAACGTTTCTTCGGGTGTAATGGAACATCGTTTAATAGTGAGTAAATTATTTTGCAAAAACTCCAAATATCGATGTCCATTCAAACATTCCTAAAAAACGTATGGACCAATTAAATTATTACCCACCTACCTACCCATACATTGATAGTGGGTAATAATTTAATATGTCTATACATTTTTGAGAAACGTCTGTATGGCCATCAATATTTGGAGTTGAATACTTAACCTACTTTAACTTATTCTTGTTTTATTTTTCTATTTTGTGTCTGTCAAATTTTGTTAGTAAAAATTACATTAGCATACAGTAAGATTTTCTAAGCTTTTATTTTTAAAATATTTACGGTTCTAACATAGTAATTATGTACAAATAAAAATAAAAATAAAAAAAATGGTGGATGCACCGCTCGATGTGCACTGTGACATAAATCACAAATATTTCCTAAACTGTTAAGTTTATCGAGTTGAACCAAAATGGTATTATCGTTCTTCCAAATTCTTTAGAGAACTTATTTTTTATGCAGGCAGATTGCGATCGTCATCTATGCAAAAATTCTGGGCTGTTAACCATTGGGCATAGTCCCTCCCTGGCGTTCTGGGCATAATAAAGTTTCACGTACAACATCAAAAACAAGCTATAGGCATTTGTTATCGGTCACCAAATTTGCATCATGCTAAAGTTACTGGTTTAGAGACTATAAATGAAAATAAGTTTTTAATTTTCACCTTTGAGGTCCCGTAACTTGTTAACGAAGGCCCGTATGAAAAAAAATTATATGAAGAACTGATATTATTTTGACCTCATCTATCTGCACTCGACTTTTTTGTATCAAGTACCGGGACACCCTGTATATGCTTATAGTTTGTTTTGTATTATTGCTCTTTGTCAGTTTTTTCTTCCTTTTTTTTTTTTGTTGTCTTTTGTAAGTATGTCACCACTAGTAATTGTATGTAAATCGCTTTGATTGTATCAATTGGGTTCGCCTGTAGATACAATATACAGTACTTTCGAAAAGTAACGAATAAATTCATTATTTTTTAATTTGAGACGTTTTCGAAAAAATCCCCTGGCACGTCGATTTTGTTTTTAAAAAAGGCACTTTTTACATACGACCCATATTTGTGACGTCATCGTTGTTCGAGATATGACGTCATCGACAATTTTTTTAAATAGCAACCCCCAATTTTGACCATGCCATTTGAAAGAGTGTGCCATTCTCAATACACAGATCATGAAAAATTATGGTGTTAGATCACAAAAATTTCAAGAAAATAATGTTTGAAGATTTTAAAATTTAATTTTCACAATACTGAAAATGATAATGATTATGTAAAAATCGACTAAATTAAATGTTCAAATTGTGCACCGNAACACCTGTCCGTGCTTATTTAGATGAGCTGTTCCCGAATCGTTGGATAGGGAGAAGGGGGCCGATTGAGTGGCCAGCCAGATCGCCTGACTTGACACTCCTAGATTATTTCTTGTGGGGATACTTAAAAAGCAAAGTATACGTTACTAGACCGGTTAATTTAGAAGATTTAAAAGCAAGAATTCGTCACGAGATACATCGTATACCTCCTGAAGTTATTGATAATGTCCAAAAAGAATTTATTAATCGTCTTGGCTACTGTCAGGCAGCCAACGGTGCACAATTTGAACATTTAATTTAGTCGATTTTTACATAATCATTATCATTTTCAGTATTGTGAAAATTAAATTTTAAAATCTTCAAACATTATTTTCTTGAAATTTTTGTTATGTAACACCATAATTTTTCATGATCTGTGTATGTAGAATGACACGCTCTTTCAAATGGCTATTTAAAAAAATTGTCGATGACGTCATATCTCGAACAACGATGACGTCACAAATATGGGTCGTATGTCAAAAAGTACCTTTTTTAAAAACAAAATCGACGTGCCAGGGGATTTTTCGAAAACTTCTCAATTTAAAAAATAATGAATTTAATCGTTACTTTTCGAAAGCACTGTAGATTAATAAATAAATAAATAATTAAGTAAATAAATATTTTACCTATAATTGGTATTTATTATTTAATAAATATTAAAAATCGCTTGGAATCCCTAAAACTGACCAATTAATTCGTTGAAGCAAGGATACTTATCATTTTACATGGATGTAGGTACCAATATAATGTTTTCAGTTTCTTGGTTAATTTATTAGGACAAAAATTGGAGGACATATAAAATGGGTATTAAATATTATTTACCTGAATAAATGAATATTATTTATAGTCGTTTGCCAAACGGCGTATGAAGAAAATATTTCTAATAAAGCATTTAATAGTAATAGTACCGAGTAATAGTAAACAGAAATTTTAATAATACCTTTTGACTATTGTTTCTACACCGTTGAGAACTTTGAAATTGATATTTTGCATGTATCATTACCAGCAGCTTTAAAAAAATATTAATATGGTAACATTAGTTTGCAAATCAGGTAAATAAATGACAAGAGAAATTTTCGTTTCCTTGCTCCACCAAAATTTTAATTTTTTTCTTCAGAATAGTTTAATATATTTATAAATATCGAACTAATTTAATTTCACCAAAAATAAGAACATAAAATTATTATAATAATTACCACTCAAATTGCATGCATTTAGATATAGATAAACAATCTTTCAATATTTTTATTATGTCTGTAGCACTAACATGAAATTTTGAACACTTCTTATTTATTCCGAAAAATAACATTTGCAAATTTATCAAAAACAAAGGTCACGTGGCATATATCATAATAAATTTCTTAACTATTAACGAATAATTACAAAAAACAGTTATCTTTATATCTCAGTAACACAATTCTGCCTGTATATGATTGTATGTATTATTGAAACTTATTTAAATTTTTTACGGCGGCCTAGTATCTCAGCACTTCCACACGCACTGATATCCTAATTGGTTTACCTATTGCATTGATCTATTACTTAATTGCTAGCGGATGTTTGGAACTTTCAAGGAAGGAGGGTGTTTTGTGCATTGGCGCTTCGGTGCCCCTCTAGGGGGGCGCTTGGCGAAAGTATCGAAGCTCTATAAAAGCTCAACCAGAGCCTTTTGGGGCATCCAGTCGGGCTTGGATTCCCTCATCTAACGAAATGAAACTCCTGGTAAGTGGCTAGTGACATACGGTGCCCGTATGTGTTTTTTCAGTGCGTGAAAGTGAAATTGGAACATCTTTAATTGGTAATTAGTTACGCGCCGGTACTTGTGAAGTTTCTAATTGTATATACGCGTTTCGAAACTACCTGTAATCATTTCCGTAAAACACACAGTGCAGTGAATTATCGTAAAAGAACAAATACTTATTTGGAACATCTCTAATAAACTACTATTTCATTGAATTGCTATTTTAAATGCATTATTTGCTATAAAGTTTTATATGGTGTATCCGTAGATATATTTAAATGAAGGATAAATTTAATATTAAACTTAAAACATAAAATATTAATATTTTTATGCAAATAATAATGTAAATTTTTTAAATGTTTGACACATGTCTATGCAGTAACCTTATTGGTTCTAATTTTATGGATACATTAAAATTAGCGTTAATATGTTCCAAGATAAGAATGCGATTAACTTAAATAAAATAATAGAAAATCTGGTTCAAGCTGATGAACTAGAAAAATAAAACAGATATCTATAATGTAAATTTGTGCTTACTAGATTAGATGCATGATAATGAATTATTAAATTGACATTTCTTTCTTTCTCAATTTTAGGGCTACTCAGCGCTCTGCGCACTCCTGTTGTTGGCGAGCGCTGAAGACAAGAAAAAGGCCACAGACGTTAAATCCGCAGATGCCGAACCCGCTGAAAAGAGACAGGACAAGCGTGGATTGCACTTGGGATACGGTGGTGGTCATGACTTTGGAGGAGGAGATGACTTTGGGGGTGGTCACTTCGGCGGCGGTGGAGACTTCTCAGGCGGTGGTCACGATATAGGAGGCGGATTTGAATTAGGCGGTGGAGGCGGTGGTGGCGGCGGAGGACACGAAGAACACATAAAAACCGTCACCATTGTCAAAAACGTCCCTCAACCCTATCCCGTTACGAAGGAAGTTCCAGTGCCAGTAGTGAAGAATATACCATATCCAGTAAAGGTTCCAGTTCCTCACCCATACCCAGTAGAGAAGAAAGTTGGAGTACCTGTAAAGATTCCCATTAAGGTACCAGTACCCATCCACAAGCCCTTCCCTGTTGAGAAAACTGTTCACATTCCTGTTAAAGTGCACGTCGATAGACCTTATCCTGTCAAAGTTTTAGTACCACAACCATACCCAGTAGAAAAGAAAGTACATGTGCCTTACAAAGTCCCGGTGCCCCAACCTTATCCTGTAGAAAAGGAAATCCCATACACTGTAAAAATTCCAGTGCACATACCGAAGCCTTATCCAGTGGAAAAAATTGTCCCATATCCAGTGAAAGTGCCAGTCGACAGGCCTTATCCCGTCCATATTCCAAAACCTTACCCTGTTCATATAGAAAAGAAGATTCCCTATCCCGTCTTCAAACCGGTACCAGTACCCGTTAAAGTTCCAGTAGAGAGGCCTATTCCCTATCCCGTAGATAAACCACAGCCATATCATGTTAAAGTCCCAGTACCGGCCCCATACCCTGTTGAGAAGAAAATACCCGTACCTGTGGAGAAACCAGTACCCTACCCAGTAAAGATCCCAGTCTTCAACCCTGTACCTATTACTATTGAAAAAAAAGTACCTCATATAGTTGAGAAACCAGTACCAGTACCAGTCAAAGTCCCTGTACATGTACCCGTACATGAAGAAAGTCATGACATCGGAGGAGGAGATTTTGGAGGAGGAGATTTTGGAGGAGGCGATGCTGGGGGAGATGAAGGTGGCCACGATTTTGGTGGAGGCATCGATGTAGGAGGGGGTCACGATATTTCCGGTTATGGAGGAGGCGACATCGAAGGTCATGAATATCACTAGTGATATTATTTAATAGCTGTCTTTACATTGTTTTTATCTTTATCAGTATTACCTTCTGTTGCTTTTGTGATTTTTGTTATTAAAATATATTTTCTATATAACTATTTCCTTTTAAATAACATAAAAAAGTATTGCTTACCTTAAATAAGGAATGTTTGCTGGAATGTGATATTTCGCTCCTGGGTCGAAATCTATTTCGGATCTTAATACAGGAGGTTTAATTCCCTGATACTGTTCACTAAAAATAAAAAATATATATGTTTATACAAGTCGAGAACTGTTAATATATCGCGTCACTAACCTCAGTCTCCACCAATGGCAATTATATTGATCTTTACCAATTTCACCTTTGAAGACGTCATATCTCCATTTATCCATTACGTAAGCGAAGGGTAAAAAGGCAACCTTTTCTAGTGCCATAGAATAAAGGTAGTTTATATCAACTGCGGTATCATCCACAGAAGGCTGCACTAGTCCTAGGGCTTGCAAATGTCTGGGAGTGCTTACTGATAATCCAATTGCTTCTCCTATTGCCTCATGGAAAGCTACAAATACATAAGTATCTTATTTAATATACAAGTATTCTTTATACTTTAAAGAACTACGATTATATTTTTACAACAGCATTAACAGCTGTATGTTTACAATTTTTCAGTCCTATATAATAATAGTTATCCGCAGCAATATACATTTCTAATTGCGGACTTATATGGGCTTTATATATTATAATTTACATTTCAGACATTGTTTAAATTCACAAGTGCAGTGAAAGTAAAAGCTTAAAGCAGTTAATACACCTTGCACATGTTTCAAATATAATAATTATTGGGATTATAGTACTTCCTCGTCTATATAAAACATATTGCATATCTTTTTAAATAAAATACATACTGCAGGCTATGCGCATGGTGATTCGATTAATAATAAACAATTTGAAAGAGTTAATTTATATAAAAAAAAGTTTTCGATAATAAAAATCAGATGTCATAATATTGAGTAGTAGGTATATAAAAGTAATAATATTAGGTAGGTATATCTTTCTGATCAGATAGGTAATATTATCCGGAAATCATTAAATTATTTTATCTGCTTTTTATAATTATTTAGGATAATTAAAATAATGTATTATTGGTAATATATAGTTAATAAAGTTAATATAATTGACATCTGTTTCCAGGAAGTTAGAAATATATATGCATATCTAATATTTATCTACTTATTGACAACGATAACTGGAAATATTAGTTTCTAAAACTAACTCAATACCTATTTATGTGTAAATTAAATTAACTATTTACTATACAGAGTGAAACAGATATGTTGCACAAACATTCAGAGCTAATTGCTTTCTTAAAAACATACAAAACAAATATCATTTCGATAATCATTGAAGATGAAGACGTCAAATTTGGTGCAGTGCAGTTTCCCCAGAAATTACTTCATGAGTTTGAACAAAAACTAGCCATTGCTCACAGAATTAGAAGCGGTCTGAGGGGTTTCAATGGAAAAAAATTATCTAATTTAAATCTCTCAACAATTAGAATCGCGAACGGTGCATTCTAGGAAACAACACCCAATTAGGACGAAAGTTGTGATTTTATATGGAAATTGATACTACTCGTACGAGGAAGCTATACTGTATTGAAAAAAAATATATAAGTCCGCAAATTGAAAGTCTATATTGTTGATAATAGTTGTCGTTGTCGTAAAAGTGGCACGGCAATCTTCAGCGTTCATGTCTTGTGACACACGAGGTAAGGACTAGTTCTGCTGAGATGACAAATATATTGCCTCTAGGTGTTTATATCTTTCCTGGTTTTAAAGTGCACAGCCTAGGCCTTGCATTGGTGCCTAGTTCAATTATGTTGAAGTGGCTTGAAGTTCATGGTCTGTTAGGTGTCAGTACTTAATGAACAATGGGTAGATTCAAACGTATTTCACTTCCAATTTTTGAAGAATCATAGAGCTGTACATTTGATCTTGCACTTTTATTTTATTTTACAGGTATTTTTCCTTAAAATATCAAATGAAATCATATATGCTCTTTGGTAGCAACTACTTAGGTGTGTTAAAGAAGTAACTCCACAACAAGCTAGTAATTAATAATTATCTAAAATAAAGGTAAGTCATCATTCATCACCTTAATCATCAACTTAAACTGTCAAAAAAATATATATCTTATAATAATTGTTCTATTATCACCTTTAACAAGGATCATAGCGCAATTTAAACTATAAATGAGCTGTTATCAAGTATTCTCCATATTAAATGGAATTAATAAATATCTGAATATTACCTAATTATTTATAAAATTCTAGAAAAAATTATATATTGAAGAAACTGTCAAAAGTGCTGATTATATGTCAAGATTAGGTGAGTATATTTGTTTACCTAACCAATGGAGCCTTTAGGAATTGTCTTAGAGGGAAATATTACTCTTGTTTTTTATTTTTTTTTACGGGAAGAATCAGTGTGGGTGAAATATAATCTACAGATTATTATACATATATCCATTGTCATTGATTGCTACTCAATGCCTACTATCACAAAGAAATATAGGTAGATAGTAAAATATTATTAAATAAATCACGGATTATCTTTATTAAACTATCAAAATAATAGTTTTTTGCAGGAGATGAAATATCCAATAATCGGAGAAATAGGCGAAGTTTTTAACTAATAATGTTGTGGGAAACAACTACTCTGCTTACTTGTGTCTCGTCCAGCACTGAATTACATCCGCCATATCTACTAAACAACTAATATCAGTAGTAATTCAATATTGCTTAAGCTTAAGCTTTAGCGGAAAGAGTATTTTCTCAATATCGTTAGTTGAGAACACCTTTTTCTACTCTATTTTAATGGTGTTAGTTTAAAACACCATTAAAATAGAAAACAAATTAAGAAAAATATTTTATCAAATGAAGTCAAATAATGTTCTTCGATACAAAAAATCTGGGTATGCAAAAGATATCTAACCCTACAAACAAGACTTCTAATAGACCGTGAGCTAGCGCACATGGGTGTGATGTCATCGAAAAATGTCTGGCATTTTGAGGTCTGAAAAAGGTAAGTAAAATTTGGAAACTTAATTTCCTTTGAATAAAATAATTAGTTTTTCACTCATCTTTAAGTGTCTGGCAGTTAATGCAAAAATAGACAGTAATAAGTACCTAACAATTTTCAAATGCCAGACGCTTTTAAATAGCCGAAAGGGTGGTCAACATTTTTCGATGACGCCACATCCATGTGTGCTAGCTCACGGTCTATAACTGTAATCATTTGAAGAAATATCCTATATTCCTGCTATTCTATTATGACTCTTGACAAAGACTAATCACGTAAAAGAGTAACTGCTAAAGATATCTATTTATTTCATAATCTACTTGGGATTGTTACATCGGGTGGCTTCCCTTCACTTATACTATTATAAATATTAATATTATTGTTTTTTTTTTTGTATTTCTTCCCTTAATATTGACAGTTAGAAAGCTTGCCTGTAGAGCCATTACTTTTACATATTTTTATTTCCGGCATTGAAGAACGTTGTTTAGCTTCATTTCATTTGATTTTTTAAAATTTATTTTTTTTTTAATCTGTTTGAATTACCTAGCTTAATACTTTTGAAATAGAAAAAAAAAGTGTTAAGCTAATCATCATTGTCTGGTTGTCTCATCCATGGCGTAATGATGAGAGCTAATAAGTTCCAAACTGATTTGTATCTGGCTGTTTTATTGACGGGGATTTAGTTCGCAGAGCAGTTATTTTCGGCAGTATCATTAGGTAAAAAGTTTATTTTACTTGGTGAGAGAAATCTAAACAAATTTGATCCAACGTAAATGTAGACTTATTTTTAAACACTATTCCAATAACATATCAAGTAAAATTAGTTTCGGATCGTCTTAGTTGACAGGNGTTTTTTTTTTTGTATTTCTTCCCTTAATATTGACAGTTAGAAAGCTTGCCTGTAGAGCCATTACTTTTACATATTTTTATTTCCGGCATTGAAGAACGTTGTTTAGCTTCATTTCATTTGATTTTTTAAAATTTATTTTTTTTTTAATCTGTTTGAATTACCTAGCTTAATACTTTTGAAATAGAAAAAAAAGTGTTAAGCTAATAATAAAATATGTTTTTTAAAAGGTACTTAAATACTGTGATACTAGGTTTGCTTTTATGGTACCTATAGTTTAGTAGGTTGCTATCTGCCGGTAAGTAAGAGGCAATACTTTGTGTTAGTAAGCATTGAATAGCAGTGACAATTAGGATACAACATACTTTGTAGGTTATATCTCATCCACACTAAAAAACGAAATCAGTAGATTGACATCCAAACAGATAGATCATCATTGGCTGGTTGTCTCATCTATGGCGTAATGATGAGAGCTAATAAGTTCCAAACTGATTTGTATCTGGTTGTTTTATTGACGGGGATTTAGTTCGCAGAGCAGTTATTTTCGGCAGTATCATTAGGTAAAAAGTTTATTTTACTTGGTGAGAGAAATCTAAACAAATTTGATCCAACGTAAATGTAGACTTATTTTTAAACACTATTCCAATAACATATCAAGTAAAATTAGTTTCGGATCGTCTTAGTTGGCAGGAATAAATTTTTTAATTTACCGTCGAATTATCTTATTTCTTTATAGACTTACCAGGATTTGCTCCATCTCTGAACACTTTTGGTTGATTCTTGTACTGCATGAAATAATGAATGTGAGCTGTTTCATGATGAGCTGTTATTAAATCCTTCATGTTAACATTGGTACACATCTTGATCCTGAAATAATATATAATTATAAATAATCGTCTTGGTTGTGAAAGACGTACGTCGTACCTAAGGTAAAATTAATATATCGTATTTCTGAGTAAACTAAACTAATTTAGTGTTATAGACTATACAGGGTGTTACGAAATTCGCGGACACGGACCCTGGGATCATATTAAGCTAGATAAGGCCATAAAAAAATGTCTATCATTTTTCAATCAGACCGATATTTTTCGAGATACGGCAGTTTTAAATATCCAAAAATCATAAAAATTTTCAATTTTTAATCATTTGTTAAACAGTTATGACAAACGAATTATTCAAAATTTTCACCACCTGCTGCTAAACATGCTTCAGCACATTGTGCTACAGCTCGAACGGAGTTGCGTACGTACCATCTCTGGCGTCATTTGTTGTATTGTTTGAAACAGACAGCTCTATAACAATTAATGACAATTCAGAAAGCATTTATCAATACTTTGACATCGTTACAGTACAATAAAAATACCTGTCAATACAAACTGCAAAATAATAGGCCACAATTATTCAAATCGTGAATAGTATGATAATATGCTGATGGCTCTCGGAGCTTCAAATAATCGTGCAGGTGAAGCAGTGCGGTTGGCTTGGCAGAGGCGATCCATTTGCTTGGCCATATCGTTCTCCAGACCTAATGCCAAGAGATTTTTTATTTTGGGGTTTCTTAAAAACGTTGGTGTACACAACACCAGTGGCAAATTTGAATAAATTGCAGAACCGCCTATTTCAATCAATACCTACAGCAAATAACACCAGAGGATACGCAAATCCATTAGAGCAGTAGCACAATGTGCTTCAGTATGTTTAACAGCAGACGGTGGAAATTTTGAACTGTTGTAACTCGTTTGTCGTAATTGTTTATATAATGATTGATTATTGAAATTTATAAATATACAGGGTGATTCATTGACAATGAGAAAGTCGAAAGCTGAAGATACTACACTTAAAATGGTGATCATTGGCGTAAACATGCCTTATCCGAAAGTTGATAGTTTCGGAAATACAGGGTGTTGAAAGTTAAAATTTTAAATCGTTTTTTTGCGATTATTATAAGAAGTTCTACTTTATTTAAGAAGAGACATGTGGTTCATGCTCGACGGAACTCCACCGTATTTTTCTCAGCCAGTGCGTGCATATTTAAATGTAGTTTTTCCAATTCGCTAGATTGGCCATGTAAGCATTTTTGCTTGCCCACCCAGAAATCCGGACTTCAATCCTCTTGATTTTTCTTTTTGGTCTTGAATGAAAGATTTGGTTCGTGTGAAGAGTTGTGCCAAAGAATACGAATCGCTGCCAGCGAAGTCAAACGCAATCCCAATATGTTGTTTCAAACCCGAAGGTATCTCAGAAAACGTTGTGTAAAGTGTATCAGTGTCAACGGTGGATTCTTCGTACAATTATTACTTTAAATCATTATTACGTATTTCATTTGTTTTATTAATTGTTGTAATAACATGAAGAAACACTTAGTTTGTTTCGCTTTTAATTTATCGTATCATTAAAACATAGTGTTCGTTAAATCGATTTTTCTCGAAAACGAATCCAGATACTGAAATGAAACAAGAGTACATAATTAATGGAAAAATGATTGCTCTTTCAGGTTTTGGATCAAGTTTCATATTAGATATACAGGGTAATAAATTATTAACTAAATTTTCGGTAAAATTGGTCGTAAGTGGCGCCCTCTATGACCAACGCTGAAATTGCAACACGTATTTTAATCGTCGCTTAAAAAAATTTTGTTTCACAAATTTTCAAGTTCCTAACCTCCATAGTTTCAGAATAATCGCAAAAAAGCGATTTAAAATTTTTACTTTCAACACTCTGTATTTCCGAAACTATCAACTTCCGGATGAGGCATATTTGCGCCAATGGTCACCATTTTACGTGTAATATGTTCAGCTTTCGATTTTCTCGTTGTTAAGGAATCACCCGGTATATTTTTATTATTTTTGGATATTTGATACTGCTATATCTCGAAAAATACTGGTCTGCTTGAAAAATCATAAAGACACTTTCTTATCACCTTATCTAGCTTAATATGATCCCACAGTCCGTGTACGCGAATTTTGTAACACCCTGTATAAAGGCGTATTATATCTCACCTAAAATCTCTTCTGTTGCAAAAGTCCCATGCAGATGGTTGACAAAGTACAACTCTATCCAAAGGTTCTTCAAAAATTGACCCTTGCCAAAAGTCTAGTGGCAATGCACTCATATTAAGTGAGACGAAGAAATCTTCGGCCAGCCTGAACATATCAATGGAAGAATAACCCTGGAACATAGGTATGTAAAATATATTAAAGAAAACTTCAGGTAAAATCTAAAATAAATACGTTTAATTTTCTAATATTTAGCTAGCAGTATTTGGAAAACTATTTTAATATCTATATTAATAACGTTTATTGATTGTGGAGTGTCAACTTAAGTGAAAACTTTAGAAGTAGTGCTAGTAGAGATATTTAATTTTTAAACACAGTTTGGCTTCATTAAACACTAGGACACCCGTCTAAAAAATTTTGATCCAACTCCAACCACAGACTACTACGGTTTTTTTACAATCAATTTTTCGAAAATTAATTTAGGGACTTTTTTACAAAAATATGGCAACATGGCGTTTTTCAGCATCACCTGTGGCTCAAATTTCATCAATTTTTATCAAATATTAATTTTGTTATAGAGCCTCAAATGTTTTATTTATAGAATTTGTTTATCCGTTAAAAAATATAGAATGCATTGGAAATTATTGTTAATCTACAATATTGTTCCTCTACCTACTTGACAAATTAAAGTATTAACTTAAGAGCAATACTTAACTAATAAGATTATTTTACTTCGACAAATTACATTAAAATAAGTAAGCAAAAAAATTGAAACTCAATACGTTTTCCATACCTCAAAATATTTTTGTACTTTTCCTAAATTGACCCCGGTTAATTTCAGCACATGTGCCCTTATTCAAGGGAGTCAGGTCTTGGGTCCTAGCTGGCCATTCTTTTAACGGACTGTTGAGCTCTATCAACAGATTTTGAAAATGGATATTTAACCACTCTTTTACCGGTACAGAATTACCGTTTGACTGAAGTAGAGGAACAGTATTGTAGATTAAAAATAATTTACAGGAATTTTCAGTGCCTTCTACACAAATTCCATAAATAAAAATTGAGGCTCTATAAAAAAATTAATCTTGAAAAAAAATTGATGATATTGGGGACACAGGGTTTTAAGTGATGCTGAAGAACGCCACGTTGCCACATTTTTAATACAAAAATCCCTAAAGTAATATTCGAAAAAATTGATGGCAAAAAAATCGTAGTAGTCTATGGATTACCAGTTGGATCATCGCAAAAAGCTTAACAACTACATCTAAAAGGCCAATATAATTATATTAAAACAGACAAACATTTTTTACACGGGGTTTAGTTCTTAATGGGCCACCCTGTATATATCAAAGATTAAGAATGTTCTACAAGCTTACAAATGTTTTTAGATAACAATTGCATTGTTTTCTGTTAATTTCAATTAATTTATTCATTTTATTTTGATTTATTGATTTTTATAATTTTTGATTTTGGTGATTTTATTTTCCAAATCCCCAAGCTTGTTCAATTTTCAATAAACAAATAAATGTTTTATAGTCATTATTTTGAAACGAGAAACTGCTTATTCAAATTGACTTGCTTCGTTGATTATTGAAATGCCTTCTAAAAATATGCAGCAAAATTTTCTGAGAAATATTAACAGGTTTTTTTATGGCAAACTATAAACTTAAAGAAAGGAAGAAAAATTCTGCAAGGTGTCTGCGAGTCGGACGGTCAATAATTGATCAAAATAATGAAAACAGTTCTATATAAATTTCTAAACTTAACGTTTTCTCCAAATAGATAGATGTTTTATACTCTAGGTCATTTATTGTAATGTCGGAGGTAGTTTGTTTTAGATACTGGCAGTATTGTTGCTTGTTCTGTACGAGAACTGCAGTAATAAATTCTAGCGAAGATGGAAGAGAGGACACTAAATATTGTTGCAGATAATTCCGATCCAATAATGAAATTCCAACCATAGTATGTAAAAAATTCTACGACAGTAGTTTCACAGACATAGTTTCTGTCGATAGGCTTTTTAATCAATAATTTTACAGATAAAATCATGAAGTTGTGCAGAATAATTTTCAACACACATTTATTTTCCAGTTATTAAGATATGGGTTTCTCGTAGGATATTATGTAACTGGGTTATATATTTTTCCCAGAAGACTAATGGGACAAAACATCCAACTTTTTAATATTTATATTTCATTGAATATTTGACAAGAGATGGAGTTCCTGCAAAGTGGTCTTCAATAATTAAACAATGTGTTTTGGAATCATATTGAAAGAAATGAGCCATATCGTTGATCTTCCAGGTCATATTTAAACTTTTATTTATGGACGAATTTCTGCTTCTGCTCAGGGAATTAGAATGATACTGGGATTTTCCAGCCTAAACAAGAAAGACAATATATGATTTCGTAGAGAACAAGCTTGTCATGTTGCCAAATTTTTAAATTTTTCGGAGCAGTACTTCCCTAGATATCGATCGACGCAGTTCCCGATGGGACACCCTGTATAGGGCACACAACTGCTGTAATAAAATACAGGGCGTAACGCGTGACGGAACGATTTTCTTGGGTAGAAATACAACTTGTGGTTATACTGGGTCGCTGATATGTATGGAAACGGTCGATTACACAGCCACACACAAAAAAAAGTTGTCTTTACTTTTCTTGCGACATATATTATCCGTAGTATTTTTGCCTCCTGATCACTAATCCGGTGTCAGAATTGAGCTATCATCATAGGAATTTCCTAACCTCAAAAAACAGGTCAAAAATTGCAAAAATTCACGAAAAATACAATACAATTTTTTTTCTATATTCAAAAGTTCATTTATATAAGACCTCGCCGAACGCGAATCCGCGGTCAGAATTAATGGTTCTTTTTCTAACCTAAAAAAAACGGGTCAATTAAGGTGGCCATATTCCCGGCCGAGAAATAGTGAAATTTCAAGCCTTTTAAGATACTGAAATCTTTGAAAGTAAAACGTGTAGAACAAAAGTAAGCACAAAAATAAAATCCTTGATGTTTTGTTTATTCATTGTTACCATTTAAATTTACTCAAATAAAATAATAACTAAAAAAANAATGATACAGGGATTTTCCAGCCTAAACAAGAAAAACAATATATGATTTCGTAGAGAACAAGTTTGTCATGTTGCCAAATTTTAAAATTTTTCGGAGCAATACTTTCCTAGATATCGATCGACGCAGTTCCCGGTGGGACACCCTGTATAGAGCATACAACTGCTGTAATAAAATACAGGGCGTAGCGCTTGACGGAACGACTTACTTGGGTAGAAATACAACTTGTGGTTATACTGGGTCGCTGATATGTATGGAAACGGTCGATTACACAACCACACACACACAAAGAAGTTGTCTGTACTTTTCATGCGACATATATTATCCGTAGTATATTTGTCTCCTGATCACGAATCCGGTGTCAGAATTGAGCTATCACATCACAGGATTTTCCTAATCTCAAAAAACGGGTCAAAAATAGCAAAAATTCAGGATAAAGTGCTAGGAAAAATACAATAATTTTTTTATATATATTCAAATGTTCATTTATATGGTTAAGACCTCGCCGAACGCGGTCAGAATTGATCGTTTTTTTTCTAACCTCAATGATTACGAATTGCGAAATTCATTTTGTAATATGTATTTTTGTTTACTTTATAACCTGAGTACCCTATCATGTCTTCACCTTCTTTTTCGTCTATATGTTGTTCTTTTCTCTGTAAAAGGTCTATTCACGGCTTTTCTGCCTAATCTCAGGTAATGACTAATAAAATACATAGGTAATTGATTAAATTTTTTAAAACGAATTTTTGTAAATCTGAACTCGAATTCGTGATCAGTGACCCTGAAAACCGTGCACCAAATTTGACACTTGTTTAGAATGAGGTAGTGGGTATTTTCAACAGTTATTATAACTGTAAAATCGGAGAGATACCAGGTCATATTTTGTTTCTCAGTTTCATTCAATGAAAGCCGTCTATGTTTTTACGAACAACGCTCTTTTGCGGTATTTTATTAGATATTGAAAACGCAGCGCTTATTTTAGATGTATGCTCATTAAAATTAAATGAGAAATCGATTTATATAAATAAATACTTTGAATATGTTCTAAACTTTCCAAAACAGTTTTTATTGCATTTGACAATTAAACAAAAATGAAAAGCATTTAAAATAAAACATATTGTAAGCGATTAATCAATTAACTGAGATAGTATCTGCTCTAGAAGTCCGATTCTTTGTGGGTCAATTTCAGCTGTTTACGGAAGTAAAAACTAGTTTTAAATTAGTACCGAGTTCCTCATTAGAGTAATTACTTTCTTGAGCAATGCATCAGCGGATATTCAAAATATGTACTTACTCTTGGCACTAAAGAATGTTACTTTTAAAAGCTGGAATCGTTTATGTCGTAAATTACGGATGTTTCCCTTTTTTCAAGCAGTTGGCTATGAACATTCTCTTTTTTAATTCGATCTAATAAAAAGAGTGTACCATACCAAATAATTTCGAGAGAACATATTAACAATAATTGATTTAAATATGTGTTCAAAATTGCTTTCACTTTTTATTTAATTCTTTTAAGGTTGATCTGAAAAGGACGAATCAGTTTGTTCTTTGTTTGATTGCCAAATGTGTAATTTGCTTGTAGGAAATGAAGGGAAAAGTTTACACAACATGTTTTCAGGAAGTGAAGAAACAGTTTAAGGGTTTTTTTTAAAATTTACCTTCGATGTGCTGTTTTTTAAAAGCACTGTGCAATAAATAATTTTCAATAAAGGAAGTGATTGCAGAACATCGCTAAAGTTATAAAATAGTACCACATAATAAGTTTTAAAGAGGCTATGAGAGAACATATGACAAACACATAAAAATTGTATAAAAAGAAAATAGTGTTATGAAAACTATCCCAATTTGCTTTAAAGTTGCTTGGTAGTGAGTAACAGGAGAAAATTTATTATCCGCTTGAAAAATAAAATTGTTTTGTGTATTTGTTTGAACTCCTTTTATTCTTTATTTAGCCTGTGAGAAAACTAGGTCGATTTTTATGCGGAATGGAACTGACAATTCGAAAATTCAAACAAATCCCAATATTGAAAATATTTTCAAAAATGAAATGTTTTAGGAAGTTTTTTATTGCAATTTATACCTATAATCCATGTCCAATTTGAATTTGGTAATACCTATTTGTTTTCTCATCTCCAATCTTGCTGAAATTTGGTGTAGGCACAGATATGTGTCTGAGACGATATTGTGTAAAACTTCATAAGTAGTATATCTTCAAAAAATTAAAATTCAATGTGCCACCATACAGGATTCCATTCTCACACAGCTGGCTTAAAATTAGAGTGAGTACTAAGTAGACGATCTGGGTTGAAATTTGATGAACAAATTGCCTGCATCACGACGCAAACCTTTTATTTCAAATATCTAGAATGGAATTCTATATAGTGGCACATTGAATTTTCACTGTTCCCTATGGTATATTTAGGTGGACTATGTTTGGTTTCCGTGATAAAAAGTTTCTTTTTGGCAAGTAGTATATAAACAAGAGTAAGTCAAACTTAAAAACCCACAACAAATTGACCCTAACATCTGAAGTATGTTAATTGCAGTGTAACGAACAATCATTGTTTTGCAGATTATGTTTTTTTCAGAGTAATTTTTCTGACCTGAAGGATGAACTCATAAAATGAAACAAGATGACTCTAAAAGAAAAAGGTCTGCCCTTTCTAGTGATAATAGCACGAATTTGGTTGAAGAAAAAGGTTTTGTGCTATTTTAGTTTGAAACTACACAAAATTTAATACGTAAAATTCAAACCTCATGTTCAATAGCTCATATCTTGACAACAAAGTATAAACTGTTAAAATTTATACTTTTGTAGCTTAAAATCAGTAATGGGTTTAGTTAGTTCACCAAAACATAAGTCTCTAGTAGGTCTTGTTTCAAAGTCATAAGTATAAAAAATCTGCCCCAAATTGACGTGATGGATTATTTGAGCAACTTTGTGAGATAACAGAATTAAAACTATAACTGATTAAACCTTAGCATTGCAACCATCATGCAAATCGCAAAAGTTGTCGATGCTAGTCGCTACGTTTCCACAACAGTACCACTTAATTCTTGCCAGTTTGTTTGAATACGCATCAGTGACTGTCTTTATATTGGAGGCCCCCAGGACCCCATTTATACCACTAGTGAAACTTAAATCAGCACTAACACCAAATTTCATCAAGATCCAAGATAGTAGCAAAAAGGTGATTTAATCACTTGACATGGCGTTCCCTAATAATAATTGGTATTGTAAAATATAAATTCATTATACCATAAATTCGTATTCCATATATTTTGTTATTTTTAAATATTACGTAATATCCTTTTTCAAATACATTTATATTACATATGTGAACTAAGAATAATAAGAACAATTTGTTAAAAAGATATTACACATGTACAACAGATAATGCGGTCACTTTGCAAATGTTTGTTAAACGTAAAAAAATGTCGTGTCATGTGAATACTACATATTAAATATTCGCTAAAGATATACAAAAAACAAACCAACAAAATGCGTGGGATACCTACTCATTACAACGACCATATCAGTAGGGTTCATTTCCACATAGGTACTGGAATTTCTAATTTTTCTGTACACGTTAGGCTTGTTTTGGTTCTGTCAGCGGACAGTCCTAGAACAGTTCAGAATAGTTTCCTAACTGTATTGCCAGTGTGTCTTGGCTTAGCTATTCTTATGAATGGAATGGTCAACTAATTTGAACCATCCTAGAACCGTTCTCTGTTAGAACCACAACACACCTGTTAAAAATTGNAGATAACAGCCTAGAAGATTGAGAATGCAATAAAACTTGTAGAATACTCTACTTTCTAAACAAAAGAAAACGAAATCTACAAATCATTCTTATTTTTATTGCTAGAACGTGTTCTCTTTTCTTCAAAGGATCTTTGCAAAGGGTTACGCTTTCGTTTAGTCCTTCTATTTTTCGTTTCTCTTTTTAACAACTAACAAAAATCAGCCATCATGATTTCATCCCATCTTCCTTGATATCGCTGTTCTATAACCTTCATATCCTGATGAGATCGTTTGCCTTGTTCTTCGCTTTAATCTCTAAGATTTTCAGGAAATCAATCCAGATGTTAATGAAGGATGTGCAATTTGTAGTTCATCAAACATCTCAGATATGAATATGAAAGTAGAGTATTCTACAAGTTTTATTGCATTCTCAATCTTCTAGGCCGTTATCTCATCTCTCAGTACAAAAAGTAGATGGATAGATGGGTGGATGGGTGAGTTTTATAGGTGGTACAGGTGGATGGATAAACATGCGTATTCAAGTATGAACGACTGGATAGAAAGATGTATGAATTCATAAATGGGTGGGTGGATAAAAAAATTTATCCAGAATTCTGGAACACGAATTATGCCGTGAAAATGGCGTTTTGATCTATTTTCGGTTTTTGAATGAACTTGGACCAGCTTGTCTGACTCTATGACGATAAATTGGAATTAAACGAGTGAAAAATCATACGTCTAGTGAGCTGGTAGAATAATTTGATTTTTTATAACTTTCGTCGATCGTAAATGACGTTTTTTGTGAATTTTGACCTGTTTTTTGAATTTTCCCGAAAACTCAGACCCGTTGGGCCAAATCTGAAGGCAGATTCGGAATCAGCGGAAAAAAATACATGGGTCTGAATACCAGATTCGATCATTTTTTTGTGGGGCAGTGTAATTGGTATTGTAAAATATAAATTCATTATACCATAAATTCGTATTCCATATATTTTGTTATTTTTAAATATTACGTAATATCATTTCTCAAATACATTTATATTACATATGTGAACTAAGAATAATAAGAACAATTTGTTAAAAAGATATTTCAAATGTACAACAGATAATATGCGGTGACTGCAAATGTTTGTTAAACGTAAAAAAATGTCGTGTCATGTGAATATTAGATATCAAATATTCGCTAAAGATATACAAAAAACAAACCAACAAAATGCGATACCTACTCATTATCAGTAGGGTTCATTTCCACATACTGGAATTTATAATTTTTCTGTACTCGTTAGGCTTGTTTTGGTTCTGTCAGCGGACAGTCCTAGAACAGTTCAGAATAGTTACCCAACTGTATTGCCAGTGTGTCTTGGCTTAGCTATTCTTATGAATGGAATGGTCAACTAATTTGAACCATCCTAGAACCGTTCTCTGTTAGAACCACAACACACCTGTTAAAAATTGGTAAGGGTACGATAAACGCTTGTGTACCATCATTGACGTGCAGACAATTATTCATACATCGTGCATAGAACGTTTAGGAGTATTCAAAAGGACTATATTTAGGTGGCACTTTGTATAAATTATGAGCTATAGTAGAATCGGATTTAACTTTTAGCACACAAAGTTTTTATGATGAACTGCACATTCCGTAATGACAGAATGAAGCAACAAACTTTCAAGACTACTAGAAAAAATTCTACTTTTGCTGTTTCGTTTAACACATTGAAGGTACATAAACCAGTGAGAAAAAATTTGCATATGATTTTTGTTCCTCAACTTTTGAAGTAACAATAAAATCCTGATAACACATTTTTTTAATCAGATTTGTTTGGAATAAACGCTTAGTAAGCAAAATAGTCAAAAAGATTGCCTTATATTATTAAAGGAAGGCTTTACCTGTCTCTCCATTTCTGGTGTAACATCTAAAAACGTTTTTCCTGGATAAGGCTGTGTGATGTGGAAAATATTTTCCCAGGACTGTGCCCACATGTTTCCCAATATATGCGCTGGCAGAGGTGCTTGCCTGCTTACTCTTTCTGGTCCGTAATATTCACGCAACCTTCGACGCACGTAAGCGTGAAGCAGTTCATATAATGGTTTCACTTCTTCCCATGCATCCTCCAAGTCTACAGTCAATGCTGGCGATTCAAACGGGAAGCTCCAGTAGTCGGCAGTATCAGTGAAATCTGATATAATAAATAAATCATAATATTTTTTAGAAAAATTGCTTTAATAATAATGATAATAATAATAAAATAATTACACATCAATTATTTACTGAAATTAACTAAATTTAGAAATTACTGGTAAACATATTCACTGTTGTAAAAACAAAATATATCTTTTGTCGATTATATAATTGTCAAAAAGACATATTTCTAGTAAATAAAGAGAAAAATTATCTGAAATATTTAATATTGATACTTAAGCAGGCCACAAATTACAAAAAAATACGTAAATTGTTATTTATGCGAATACTCACTATTCAGTCTAGCCGCTTTATTTGATATTTTAACCATTTGATCATAAGTGTCCTTCATTTTTTGTCCTGAATTTCGCCTCCATTCTGTCCAGACATGTTGAAGCTCTTCCCAATTTCGACTATTTGCCATTATTTTTGTTAAGTCTGGTTGGAGTCTCAGTCCACAGTGAAAATGTTCATTCAGGGCACAAACTGAGGCAGCGTTGTATATTGATAGCATGTCGTTAATTAACCTGTTATACTAAAAGAAAAGTGAAATAAATTAACATTTAATTTTAAAATGTTGTTTTATATTTATTATCTTTTGTAGACTGTGAACTAGGAATATTGATTCACGGCTTGACTTTATTTGATTTACTTGATTTGGAAAGATATTTGCAAATATATATGAAAAGTGAAATTGAAGATTATTTGCATTCTTTTAATTTCATTTGATACTAAGACATGTTTAGAAGACATACAAAAAAATTACTCGTATATGAATATATTGTAAAAGTAAAAGATGTAAATTATATGAATTAATAACATTAATAACAATACATAATTAGTAACAACGAATAATAAAAAAATGTAGGAAATTAATACGTTCAATTATATTTTCCTTTAAATCAAATTTATTTACTTAGTTTTTTATAACTGAAGTAAAGAAAATATGAACAAAATTCTGTTCATTTAGATTTTTAAATCTAATATTTATTTAAAATTTATTAGTGTTCCATTTATTTATATGTATATACATAGATATTATATTTCAAAATATATCAGAAATAAGAATAAGTCTGAATATGTGTGAATATGTATTGATGGTTGCATATGTTCGACATACCAATATTGTAAGAAAATACCTAGAATATAGATGCTAGTTTATATTTGAATAATATTTCAATTGACTACACGAAATATAGCAATTATTTTGTAGAGATGAGATATACTATCTATGCCGTGCGTCTAAGTTATAGAGTGGTTTTTATTTACTAATATTTAGTTTTCTTATACCCAAGCTAAAGATATAATTTCCTTTAAACTGAACTAGGAATATCTAAATTTAATTAAAAAGTAAAAATGAGAATGTGTGGATAGCAGAAAAAACAAAAAAAAATAATAGGTCATCAGTTTTAGCAGCTAGCCTTGGACTATTTCAATTTATCAAAAATATTCAGCTACCTAAATTCCTACTTATACTTCCTTTGAAAATAATGTTAAGGAAGAACTTATCAAGTAATACGTGTCAAGTATGTCTTGTAGCTTCAAATCAGTTCTTGATGCTGCAAAAATAAATTTAATTAATGATGTCTCTGTTGACAACGAAGCAATCTTTAAACATCCAGTTATTGCTATCTTTTGGTGCTTTCTTAATAGTTTTTTTAAAGTGACGTATTGGGAATTTAATAATATTTTTGAAATTAAATTTTATCTACTTCCCATAGTGAGACAGATTTCAGATAAAATTCATTTTTTTAGTAATAAATCTATTTATCCAATTATTTCTTCTAAAACTTACCCTGTCTAGTTCCTCTGGAGAAAGAGCAGCTGGACCAATAACAGAGTAGTACCTAATTTGTCTATAAGTTTGAGTGTCAGGAATGTTGTTTAGGTTGCCTTGTTTATTTAAAAGATCCCAAATTTCATGTTGAAATTCTGAATATGTTTGTTGAGCATTTAGCTGGAAAAGAGAAAAGGGAAGGAATTAATAATTACTGTTAAATTAACAAGAAAAATAAAAAAATAGTAAATTAGGAGACTACCAATTTTTTTTTTCAAAGAATATATCTATATCTTTCATATAGGTACTATTATTTTATGTTCTGTAATAATGTAACGTTTTTTCTATTTCAAGGCTCTCTTAACCTTACATTATTCCGTATACATTGCAAATAGATGACTTAGTGTCATTTTATATTCATGATGACATTAAATCTTCTATATTAAGTATGAATATGATGCAGATATTTGCATATACATTCATATATTATTATACATATATGTATCTTTATATAGGATGTCCAACGAACCATTTAGACCTGGATACACGCTAGTTTTGTAACAAATACCAGATATCAGACGCCTCATAAAAAAATCTAGGGTTTAATATCAGTTGACGTGGCTGGCCATCCTACAAGATTTTTTTCTTCATCATGGAAATTAATTGGAAGAATAGATTCTGTAGAGTAGCCAACCAGGATATCTGATCTTAAGCCTTTTCATTTATTTTTTGGGGCTATTTGAAATCTGGCGTTTGCGAGAAAATCTGCTTCTTTTCAGGAATTGGTCAGTCCACGAATGTCGGTTGTTGACCGGGACACGTGATTACCTTACATTCGATAAAATAAAAGTAAAAATTCGTATCATTTTATTTTTTAAGCGGGTAACTCAGAAGGATAGGAGATAAAACTAGACTTATCAGTATTAGGTCAAAATATGATAATATAATTTATTTGTGGGTGACTACTTTTGCTTTGACAGACTTTAGTAGGAATAATCCATAATCTAATGTTTCAACAAAAAATCCTTGTCCTTAATGTAGCTATTTTTTTCAAAATCACCTGTCAATACAGCTGATACTATGAAAAATAAGTGTTAAGTTAGTAACGGAAAGTTACATGTGTCGTTTATTTATAGACAATAAAAACATATCAGGTAATGGTGAAATGAGTATTAATGAGAATAATGATCCTTAATATACGACTTATGATTATGAGATGATTCATGAATGAATGGATGAAACTAATTTTAGATCCTCGAACACAAAGAAAACATATTTATAATGTTATAATTTGTATGGAAAATATTAAAGAAAAGGACGTAGTAGCTTCATTAAGTCACGAGCCAGAAACACGTAAAATATACGTATTAGTCCCATAAACAATAAGGAAATATATTATACTAATTGTATTCCACATATAGATGTACCATATATACCTACGTGTTAATTTCTCTAGCCGTTTCTACAGTGACACTGACTTGCAAATGAAATTATTATTTAATTGTAAAAGTAAGTAAAATAATCAATATAGAATTATTAAATTAATTCTTTCTGTTTTATCATTTCGAAATATACATGTAGTATTATTGGGTATGACCTTTTCATTATTAAATTTTCAAAGTTGTAGCTTCATTTGTTAACACAGTAAGAAGGATTTTTGTGAACATTATATTAAAAATAGTTGAAATGACAGTAAATGAAACTTTAATTTATTGTAGAATATTCTTCCATTCCACAAAAATAATATGAAAGTTTACCCAAAGAATTATTGGAATATGTTATATAGATATGAGAGAAGACTGAGGTGAAGATTCTTATATTTCGAGTTGGTACAAATTTTAATGCCGGATTCAAATAGAAGAGAGGCATTAGAAAAAATATTTAGTCATGATATAAACAACAGATGCGTGGTTATAGATGTAACATTTTTTTTACATGTGTGTCAAATTTGATTTCAATTCGTTCATAATTTTGTTTTATTAATTTTGCAGCAATTTGCAATCCTAAAAATACTCACAACCGTGTAATGACAAAGCCCCACAATATTTTAAGGGGTTTGTTTATATGTGCAATTTTTTGTCCAGCATTTTAGAAAATCTAAGGAAATTAGAAACAATATATCTTTACTGTATCAGTTATATATCAGTTATAAGTTTTCTTCAGGGTATAAGACAACTGATAATAAGGAAGAAAAAGCATATTTTTACCTCGTATGTGAGGTTTCCTGAATTTTGCATGTTTGTTGAATATACATAAAATCGCGTACGATACTATTAACATAATCACACCCTCCAGAATGCTTTTAGGAAACTATTAACACATGCATTAATCACAATTATTGAGTATCTTTACAAATTTTCTCAACAGAACAGGAAAGGTACATTATCTGATGTTTACATGTTCTACATGATCTTTCAATACAAAATATTAAAGGAAGTTGCTCTAGTTTAGTGTTAGTGACTGGATCTACTTTTTCTATAATTGTCTTACTAGAACTGCTATTTCTTGTCTATTAAACGCCAACCTTAAAGTAAAGTATTGATCAAAACAATTGCAGTGGGGTTTTGAATACATTGGAGATGACTCGAACAGTAGAAGGTCCTCAAATGCAACCAATCCTGATTGGAGGATAATCGAACAAAATAATTTTTGAAGATCGTCGTTTGAAAATGTCTATTGCTAAAAGACATATGCACCAAGCATTTTAACAATTCTACATGATTCGGAAATTTGACAAAACAGCTACGGGAACATCATTTTGTAGATTATAACCAATTGAAAGAGGAAATTGATGCATATTATGAGGCCAACAGAAATCATTTATTTCTGACGGAATGAAGAAGTGAAAAATAAAGTTGTCCCAAAAAATCTTAGTTAGTGTTTTGTCAGGACAGTAATATTGACGCATAAAAAAATAACAGCAACTTATAAGGGATCTCAAGGATAATTATTACTTTTATATTGTTTTTTAAATATAGACAAAATGATTCAGCGTTTGATAAACAAAAAGATTCCCATCTACCGGACCTATTTTTTACCGCAAAATGTATGCACACTATTATAATTTTTGTCCTTGTATGAATCAATCCCGCAATTAATATGTAGACATGGCAAATTTAATGATAAAATGGTGCACCGTGTGCAGTTACTCATTTAATGATGGATGAATTATTAAATTATTCCAGGAAGTTATAATGTATCTTACGGATGTAGTAATATTACATTAATGTGGATCATCTGAAATAAATATACAGTGTACACAAACTAAGTTGAGGATTAGGATGCCCTCTGTCCAAGATGTAGGGTCACCCCTATTGCTCGTTTCTGATTACTACTAGCAACATAAATTAGATATGAGTAAAATAGGCAACATATGGACTAATTAATAAGCATTCATTGTTCTATCATTTGCGGTTTTACAGGAAGAAAAGTGAAGTTTTAAGCAATGACAAAAATTTAACATTTTTGACTACTTCAACATTTTAGCTACTAATGCAATTTCAAACTAACTTTTTTAGGAAATATTTACAGGCTAATAAAAAAAATAAAATTTTTTATCATGCTGAAACTTTTAATCTAAATCGGAAAAAACTGTTGAAAATGCAATTTTGAATCGAAGTAACTAAAACATTCAATGTACTCTATTCAAGGTGAACCGGTATGGAATTTTTGATATGTCTTTTTCAATGAAAACCTACTTCTGATTCCTTGCGGTTGGTTATACCAGAAGTAGTTGCTTTATTTTAAATGGAAATGTTGTTACATAAATTTAAAACAAGCCTATCTAACCTATGGTAGTAGTTTATTAACAAGTAGGCAAGCCTAATATAGAAACATATAACCGATTACACTTACTCAAGAAACAAAATACAATAACAGAGTTGCTTACAATCTGATATACAATACAGTACTCGCAACGACAGAATTTAAAGATGACACCTTTATTTTGTCTATAACACAAAAGTACTTTTTATTGTGATTAATTAAGTGCCTCTTTAAAGTTATTAAATTATCAACATATTAACTGTTTAATCCCTTATAAAACAGCGTGTTCCAACATTTTTTAGCATTAGGTTTTTGAATATGAAAATGTTTTCTACATCTTGTTGAATATTGATGTCTTCATTTGTTACTAAGAAACTACTAAAGTATGACGGCGGAATACTCTGAACTATTTTATACAGGGTTTTTCACGGTAAGTGGCCTATTAGACGTTTCAGAGGAACCAAAGACAATATGACTCTGAAATTTTGTTTATGGCGGTTATCAGATATGTTCTCTTTAATAAAAATAATGCCATCGTTGATGGCATTATCGTTGATGTTCGTTATTTTAAATGGAACACCCTATATATTATTGCATTATCGACAAAATAAATTAGAAATAAATTAGAAATAAATCAAAAATGTTAAAGCTTCTCTGTACTAAATCTAACCGTTTTCGAGATAATCGTCATTGCAAAATAATTATTCTATTGAAGATATTTTAAATTTTTTTTACCTATATTCATGGAACATTCACCGTGAATCAAAATTATAACATAACAATTAATGAAATGATTTTGGTTGGTTTTCTTAGAATTTTTCTCTAATTTTTAATGTTGCAAAAGTTTTTAGCAAAGACAATAAATAAGATAATTTCAAATAACTAATAAATGCATTACTATAATTTTATGATATTTGGAATGAAGTTGAGAGTATACTAATTTCAAATTTTGGTTATTTTACATTTCATTCTTTCTTAATGAAAGGATGCTTATTTGGTCTTTATTGTACCTGCAGTTGCTAATAATAATATCCCAATGGAAGGAAATCTTATTAGGTATTATTTTTGTGTAAATATACCCCCTCATTATTTAAAATATGCAACATACGTGAAACAAGGCGCTTTATTAACGTAATTATGAAAAAAAGTCAATGTTCTACGAAGAACGATATTGTATGTAGATGGCCGAGTTTCATTCGCGTCCAACTCTTCAAATTTTGGTATAGGGAAGCTTTAACATTTTTGACTTATTTCTAATTTATCTTGATTTATCTTGTCGATAATGCAGTAATATATAGGGTGTTTCATTTAAAATATCAAAGTTGACAGCTACTTCCGGTATGATGGCATTATTTTCATTGAAGAGAACTTATCTGATAGTCCTCGTAAACAAAATTTCAGAGTCATATTGTCTTTGGTTCCTCTGATACGTCTAATAGGTCACTTACCGTGAAGAACCCTGTAAACAAAAATCATGTTTGTTTAATATATCCGCTTTGATACTGATAACCGCATCAATGCATCTAACATATTTTGAATTGGTGCCTTCATCTTGAAGATTTTGTAACTGTGAAGTTTGTTTTGATTGAACATGTACATTACTGTGGCACAGTAATCAAAATAATGTCGGATTATACTACTATAACAAGTAACTACCGTAAACATTTAAAGTTTGCTACCCTGGAGAAAAAATATAGTATTTTTAATAATGTAATCACAATCATTCAATGAAAGACTATTATCCACAATAAAATCTAAGTATTTAAACTCAGTAATAATTTCAATAATTTCATTGCCTATTTTGATATTAATTGGATAAGTACTTATTTGTTTATACTTATAAGTAGTGGCTAATNAATTTCAAATAACTAATAAATGCATTACTATAATTTTATGATATTTGGAATGAAGTTGAGAGTATACTAATTTCAAATTTTGGTTATTTTACATTTCATTCTTTCTTAATGAAAGGATGCTTATTTGGTCTTTATTGTACCTGCAGTTGCTAATAATAATATCCCAATGGAAGGAAATCTTATTAGGTATTATTTTTGTGTAAATATACCCCCTCATTATTTAAAATATGCAACATACGTGAAACAAGGCGCTTTATTAACGTAATTATGAAAAAAAGTCAATGTTCTACGAAGAACGATATTGTATGTAGATGGCCGAGTTTCATTCGCGTCCAACTCTTCAAATTTTGGTATAGGGAAGCTTTAACATTTTTGACTTATTTCTAATTTATCTTGATTTATCTTGTCGATAATGCAGTAATATATAGGGTGTTTCATTTAAAATATCAAAGTTGACAGCTACTTCCGGTATGATGGCATTATTTTCATTGAAGAGAACTTATCTGATAGTCCTCGTAAACAAAATTTCAGAGTCATATTGTCTTTGGTTCCTCTGATACGTCTAATAGGTCACTTACCGTGAAGAACCCTGTAAACAAAAATCATGCTTGTTTAATATATCCGCTTTGATACTGATAACCGCATCAATGCATCTAACATATTTTGAATTGGTGCCTTCATCTTGAAGATTTTGTAACTGTGAAGTTTGTTTTGATTGAACATGTACATTACTGTGGCACAGTAATCAAAATAATGTCGGATTATACTACTATAACAAGTAACTACCGTAAACATTTAAAGTTTGCTACCCTGGAGAAAAAATATAGTATTTTTAATAATGTAATCACAATCATTCAATGAAAGACTATTATCCACAATAAAATCTAAGTATTTAAACTCAGTAACAATTTCAATAATTTCATTGCCTATTTTGATATTAATTGGATAAGTACTCATTTGTTTATACTTATAAGTAGTGGCCAATATCATGGCTTTTGTTTTTTAACATTTATCTTAAGTTTATTCATTCGTAAATATGTTTCAACACCTGATGATATCAAATGAATCCTTCAAAAGTTTTGCATGCAATATTTTACCATTAATTAGCTCATTGTCCAATGAAAATATTGTTTTCCGCAGTTGGCCAAACATTGTTTTTTTAAAGATGCTAATACCACTACTTACTTGATGAAAACTTTGTGTCGACCACAACTGATCATTCTTTATGCTATTTGCTATATCAGCTATTCGGAAACAAATGCCTTGTAAAAAATTACTATATTATTGTTGTGTATTTGTATTATTGTAATACTGCATATAATCTTTTTTTGTGCACAAAATTCCACAAAATAATGCATGACTTTTATAGCAGCAAAATTTAATAATAAATTCTATAATTTTATAATTTATATCTACCTCTTTGTTTTTAATAGCAAGCACATATTGCCAAATATTTACTAAAACATATTTTACCACAATGTTGTATTTTTATTTAAAATTTTTAAACAAATTTTTGAAATATTGGGATAAATCTGATTTTGACATGGGCAGTAAGAATTTTTCATCACGCCTGTGGCTTTTCAAACTTTATTAGGTTTCTTTCTACAGCAGTTTCA